AGAAACAGCTTGTCCTCCTCCTTCTGTCTTAATTAAGATTGCTCTCTCTCACTCTCTCCTTCAACTCTGTCTCTCCAGATTTCCCCCCCTCCCATTTCTCTCTCACACATCACACAGCCCCCGTGTCCTTCTCCTATTTCTCTTCCTCCTCCTCCTCCTCCTCCTCCTCTCCATCCTTCACTCCTCTCTCCATTGGTCACTTCATCTCTCTAATCCAGGATCAATGTATTCCCCTGTCACGTCTGTGAGTGCTATGGACGTATTATATTAAGTCCTTGGGAAGCCACTGAGCCACCACATACGTAAAGCAAGCAACCAGTTGGCTGCTCTTGCATCCAAATCTATCTGAGACCACAGAAAACCTCATTGTGGGTTTTAGAGATTTGCTCTTTAAGACATTGTGGCAATTTTTGTATATTAGTCAGTAAATACAAGTGAACAACATACAGACAGAACAGATGAGCAGTGTAATGTCACATACATGGCTTTATTTCAACTGGTGGAGATTTTCTTTAGCAATTAATATTGTTGTGTAAATAACACTGTGTTTGTTGCTTTGGAAAGCGTTATCATCCTCCTGATGGACAGGCCCTCTGGAGGCAGTACTCGCTTTGCACTCCGACTGATATCTCTAAAGTAGGATACAACATCAGCGGACAGAGCCCAGAGAAAGCTGCAACTAACAGTGACGGACAGTGTTGCCACACGGCAATCTGTAGCTCCATTGAGGCCTGCGTGCTCCCTGCTCCTCTGCAGATCCGCATTTAGCAGCTGTTCCATGTTTGGTACTCACTTTACTTCTGACTCCTTGCGGGTCTCTGTCTTAAACATAGCTGTCCACACACACACACACACACACACACACACAGCCCGGAGTGTATGAACTCCTTTGACAGAGATGAGCTGCGACAGATGTCCATCATAAGTGCCCCTTCCTGATTCCATAGCCGCGGGGACGTGGAGGGACAGGGGACGACTGGCTCGCTGTCATGACTAATCTCTGCTGGTGCATGTTGCTGATGTCAACC